TCCTCCTCCTCCACTGCCTTGGAGCATGGAGGGTTTTAAGAGGAGAGGGGTTAATAAAAAGGTCAAATAAAATCATAATATTGAACAGAATGAAATATCTTTATTTGCCACCAAAAAATTCACAGCAATCCCTCTGGGAAAGAAGCAGGGTGGGGATTGCACATGTACACACGCACTCACGCACATGGAGAGATGGGTGATTTGAATCTCATTCCAGCGCACGTACTCTCCCATCCTCACTGGGTAAAAAGAAACACTTGTGAAATTTATTTACAAAAAATTCAGGCCCCAGCAAGGGAGAGGTGCCCAAGTCCATCTCCCTACTGTCTCCTCCACTGCAATCTACCTTTCTTTTCTTTCTTTCTTCTTTCCTTTTCTTAAAAGAAAAAAAAAGGCAACAACTGCATAGACTAGCTATAAATCCATGGGGTGGGGCACTGCTTGGAAAAAGGTTAGGGCACCTCAATGGACCAGTTGAGAAATTTCAAAGGAGTGCTCTACACATTTAGAGGGAGAACGAGGCTCGGGCGGGGCCGGGGCAAAGACGGAGGTAGGACACGAACTGTGCACACCTAACATCAGGTCGAAGGTACAGGAATTTCACAGCAAGGCAGGAAGATCACATTTAGCTACCCCAAGCAATGGGGCAAGGTGGGGTAGGGGCTGGGAGCCAGAGAGGTCTCCTCTTGAAGTCAAGGTGTCTTAGCGGTTCTTTCACTGGGACAAGGGAAGGCTTGCAATTCAAGGATTGTTCGGCTCAGGCGCCCACTATGGTCGTCCCTCCCCCCACCCAATCCGAGCAGCAAGACGTTGTCGCGAGGTGTGTTTCTTTTAAATAGAGTCTTGGGGCCTCGGCGCCAACGGGGGTCCACTCGCCGTGGGTCAGACACTTCCCTTCACCCCCTTTGTCAGGCCTGGCCTCTGCCCCCACAGTGAGAGTCAGACCGAAGGTGAAGGAGGTTCCGGAAGGCGGTGCCAGAAATGGCAGTGGGGTCCAGCCCTGGCCACAGTCCAGATTTCCACCCGTGGAAAGAAGACGAGTTAGAAAATTAAAAATAAAAATAAAATAAAATAATTTCCCCCTTTCCCTCCCTCCCCCAAAAGAGCCCGGTTGCAGTTACAGCAGCGGATTTCCCGAAAAATACTGCAGCCGGTCTCTGCTCAATTTTTTCTCTTTCATCCTTCTGTTCTGAAACCAAATTTTCACTTGTCGGTCCGTCAGGTTCAGCATGCGGGACAGCTGCAGGCGCTTCTCTTTGTTGATATACACGTTGAAGAAAAACTCGCGCTCCAGTTCCCGGATCTGGAATTTCGAATAAGGGCAGCGCTTCTTGCGGGTGCGGGGGGCGTCTGGAGGGAGGGGAGGGGGCAAGTGCGAGGAGAGG